GGGTTGAGGAGTTCCATGGAATTGGGGGTGGAGGGAGTGGATCTCAAGGAGAGTTTGGGGTCCTCTCCCTCCCCTGGATTTTTGTCAGCTGTGTTCCTACAGTACGTCTTTAATCCTCATAAAACTCTAAGAGGCAGGCAACCTCATTTTTACATTTTACAGGTGACGAACGTTGAGTTTCAGAGAGGTTAAGTGACTTGCCCAAGACGACAAAACTAGTAAACATTGGGGTCCAAATTTCCATCTAGGCAGGCTGACCCAAGAGCCTGTACTCTTGACCAAAATATTTCCTTGACAACTAACTCAAACGAGAAAACAATTGAAAATTTTGTCAGTATGGACGCCCGCCCCCCCCCCCCACCAGGTAAATCAATAGGCTAACAAAACTGGCAGAAACCCATTTCAGACTTGTGACCTCCAGACTCTTAAGATAATAAATTTGTGTTCCTTTAAAGCATTAAGTTTGTGGTGATTTGTTACAGCAGCAAAAGGAAACTAATACAGCAGATGAGGGCTATCCAGCTAGTGGGTTCAGGTTCTGATGGTAAATATAACCATTTGCTCATTTGCTGAGCAGATACCGTGTATCAGGCACCACGTTTGGTGCTGAGAAAACATCTGGTGAGCAAAACAAACAGGGTCCCTCCCATCGAGGAGCTTGTGATCCAGTGGAGGCAGACAGAGAGTATTCTGGTCATCAATTCAGTGCCTCTTGGCACCAACCAAATTCACCCCTCATGACCTGCTCTGGGAAAATGGATCTGAGCCTTTAATAGTTGTCCTTTGCCAATGGGCAAGAGTTACGCTATGTCAGTAGGGGGCGCTGGAGAGACACTTGAGTAGGAAAGTGTTTGCTTTCTGATTCTGGGGCACTCTTCCAGCACTGGTGGCTCCCCCCCCCCCACCCTTGTATCCACCTCCTGCAGCACCCAGTGCCCTGCAGCTTTCACCAGCGTCCACTTTGAGTGGTTTGGTAGCAAGCGCTTCTGAAGAGTCAGCTCCCTGTGGACAGCTGTCCCCAGACTTCCAGCCATTTCCACTGGTATGCTACCTCAGCAGCGTCTCCTCATTCAGTGGGCTGTGAGTGTACCCTCTCCAGCAAGGTCTAGATCTCGGAAGGTTGGGGGAAGGCCTCTGGCTCAGATGCCCTAACTCCACCCCAGGGCAGTGGAGGCTCCTGACTCGGCCATTCCCATATTCTTCAGAGTTCTCTTCACTTCTTAGCAAGCAATCTCTCATCACTCTAGTCCCTGTTATAACTAACGGTCCTTTATATCAACCTCTCCCTGCTCAAATTCTTTCTCGTGATTGGAGCCAGACTGAGACAGGCAGTGCACAAAGCATCACGTAAAGAAGCGTGAATTATAGACGAAAGAGAGAACGAATTTAGCTGGAGTGGCCAGGAGAACCCTCTAGGAGAGTTGGCTTTGAAGGTGAAAGAGACAAGAAATCAACCAAATGGAGCGCTCTGGGCCAAGGGTGAGCCATGAGAAGACGTGAGCAGGACCGAGGCTCAGCGTGGCCAGGTGCTGAATGCACAGGCTTCTGGGACACCTTGGGACCTCAGACTCACATCATACAACAAAAGGGCATCGGCCGGAGCCTGTCTGCCCTCGGATCCATTCCCAAGCCTTCCCCTGATGGGTTCTGGCTCCCAGAGGTGCTGACCCCAAAGACGGTGTTCCTTAGGGGACCCCATCCCTGGGCCCCAGGATCACCTCCTCCGGCCTCCCAGCACAGGGGTGGGTGGATTCCCACTCCGGCTATGGTTCCTGAGTCTCCTGTGTTCTGTTCCTGGCATATCATCTGTCCTACTTCCTGTGTACCTGAGTGCTTCCACTTCAAGTTTTTCTGTCCTAACTACAAAAGTGGCTTCCACTCCTCAGTAGACTCTGATACAATAACAAGCCCAATTTTGTTTGAACATTCCATGGACGAGTAATCTAGCACCCTTACATCACGCATAAGTTGTCCAGGGTTAGTTGCCACTGAGAAGAAGTAGGAGGAGGGGGAGGGGGATGAAGGGAACGGAGAAGAAGCGGGGGCGGGAAGGAAGAATTACATAAAAGTTACTTACACCCTAAGAGCAGTAGGCAAAATTCTCCCCTGAAGGCCACTCTGCGGCAGTTAACGGGTTTGGAAAGCAGCTAAAACAACTGATTAAAGGGAAAAGATGAGCTACCAACTCTGGTTCCACCGCAAACTTTACTACATAGCTCTGGTCCCTTGGAGGCATTTCAGAGCCACTCTTCACAGGGATGCAGGAGGTGCGCTGCGATACATGACACCACTCAACCATCCAACCCTGGCACTTCCCAGCCAGTGGGAATTAAAGCCAAATGCAAGAAACCATCCCTAAGTAAAGATCAGCCAGATGGGGAGACACTAATCGTCACAGACCTGCGGTGAGCACAGCAAACAGACAACAGCCTCCTCGGAGAAGCCAGGGAGAAGCAAGCAGCTCAGACGGCTCCAGCGGGGGAGAAGCTGGGGGATGGCGGAGCGAGTGCCACAGAGAACAGACCAGCGCCGGCAATGCAGCCAAAATGAGTGCACCGCTCTCATCTGCTGGACCCCTCCCAGGGCTGCACCAGGCACCTGTCACTAATACAGGAACAGCACAGAAGATGAGCCCCATGGGGGAGTGTTGGCAGCCGAGGAAAGGTTGTCCGAGCCAACCTGTATCTTGCCCTCCTTTCCTGTTCTGCCAGGCTCTCCATCCTCGCCCACGTTTCACCACCTCCTTCCGCCCTAGGTTCTGTCCCATCCCACCATGTGCCCTGACCCAGTGACGAGCACCCCACTCAGACCAGTGCCATGAGTTAGGTCTTCAGGCAGCATCATGACAGAAGAGTTCACCTCTGGCCAAAGAGCATTGGAGGGTCTCACCAAGCAAAGGTCTCATTGGGAAAGGCCACACTAGGAGACAATATGCGCTGAAGCCCTATAACAACAGAATAATAGTCCCCATTCACCAGTATTCTCCTTAGGTTACTTTATTACAAGATGCTAACATTAAAGTTCTGGCCAAGGATACACTTTCTGTCCCAGATGCTCACCTCTGCCATCACGGCGTTAAAGCAAACCTAGACAATTCAGAACAAATGAACAGGCTGTTCCAATAAGACATTTTCTACTAACGCAGGCGGCAAGCTCGATTGGTCGGTGGGCTGTACTGGGCTGACTGCAGGTCCATACCCCGTCCTGGTTCCAGCCTCCTGGCAGGTCAACATACATCACTTTCTAGCTCCTCTCGGAACCAACACCTGCCCACGAGAGAAAGGCACGACACTCATCCTTACAAGTAGCAGGAGGCTGCAGAAGCCCCAGGAAACTGACTGGTACTCATGAGACATACAGCAAAATCCTAAGGACTTCGAGTAAAGAGATAACACAACCTCAGCCAGATCGTGGTCGATCTGGAGAACTGACAGAAAAGGTCCTGGGAAAGGGAACATAGGACTGTCTCACTCTGTCCCAAAATCCCCATCCATCCACCTCTGCCCCTTCACGGGGCTCTTTCCCACGGAACTGTGGCCGCCCTCAAACCAAAATGCAGATCACTGCTGGTGTAGATCATCTTCAACCGTCTAGCCTTCAAGAACTAGATGATCCCGGTAGCTCAGATTACAGCACGGGATTCAGGCATTCACTCGACAGATCGTAAGTGCCCCAGGCATTGTTCTAGGTGCTGGGGACACAGCTGTGGACAAAACTGCTGGGAAGCCTACCGTCATGGATCTCTCCTTCTGGGGAGGAACACAGCTGATGAATCCTAAACCCCAAACACTGATAATATCTATGAAGAAGATGGAAGAGGGCGAAGATGTAGACAGAGAGGGATGAGCGAGGGGAATGGAGAGCCAGCTTGGCTTCCCTGGTCAGGGAAGGTGCCTCTTAACAGTCGAATCAAGAAGGAGCCAGCTATGGGGAGGCGTAGGGAAAGGGAGTTTTGGGGCAAAGAGTCAATAACACAAATATGGGGATTGCAGAATTAATTGTAGGGCAGAGGGTTTTATGTGCAAGGATCTCACCCCTGGTATCCAACTTTGAGTAGGGATGATAGAAGTGCCCCCAGACTGTCCTAGAATCGCTCGGTGTGGACCCCCACGCTTTGGTCCCAGACAGGAAGGTCAAAGCAGTGCAGGATGTATTCGGACATTTCCAGTGTGGGAAAGGGCATTAGCAATATTGCACTCCCAGGGTTTATTATCCCTGTGACCCATCGGCACCGTCTTTTAAGGTTCTGGAACCTTGTCCACGACACTGTTCTCAGAGGTGTTCCCTGAGCCTGATTGTGAATAGAGCTTCGGCCAAGCTCAGAGGAGAGAGCTGGCCACCCCCAGGCCAGAAACAGAAACACATGTGGTTTTATGGTCTCTGGGACCCTATCCAGGTTCATCTGGTCAGTTCCCAATAAGGCTCTTTCGGTCCATCTGCATTTTAGAGTTTGCCAATCCCCAAGCTACATGGGAACTCTCAGGGCAATTGACCAGGGGCTGTTTACTCAGCATATAGAGAGGCCGTTCCCACCACACACTCCTGATGCATTTCAATGCAACTGTCTTCACTCAGGACAACACTCGGTCCTGAGATGCACACAGGCTGAGCCAATAAAAAACACGGGCTCCCCGGGACACGGTTCAGCAGTATCCACAAAGGAAAGCAGATTTACACAGCAGGCCCTAGTTTCCAAGGAGGCGTTACAGAAAGCAAGTAAATAAAATATAACTTAAGTGTATTTCCCTTGCTCAAGCAACTTCAAGGTGCATAGAAAACAGCAGATTATAAAATGCTCATGTTTCTTTGAATATTAAAAGTACTCAGGGAATTCCCTGGTGGTCCAGTGGTTAGAATTCCGGGCTTTCACTGCCAGGGGCCAGGGTTTGACTCCTGGTCGGGGAACTAAGATCCCACATGCCACACGGCGAGGCAAAAAAAAAAAAAAGTACTCAAAGAAAACATCTTTGTGACACTGATTCCGAAGCCCGACATCTCACCATTGCGAGCGGGACGATGCCCACGAAGGAGGTGTGGCTGACAAAGATCTCAGAGACAACCAGATCCCTCGTGGCGTCCTCCACCGGGTACTCCACCTGCCAGGTGATCTGCTGGGCGCCAGCCGGGCCACTGCTGTTGTCAATTCCAAAGTCCACCTGCAAGATCTCATAGAAGGAGCCATTTGTTCTGCAAAACAAACACACAGTAAAGTGCAGTTTAAAACCTGAGACTCAGCAGAGTGTCAAGAACGCGATAAATTGCCACATTCCTCTTTGTCAACCCAAAGAAGGCTCGCCAAGTTCAACAGGTCACAGGCGGTGTCGACAGAGCCTGATTCACAGGCTGCCCACAGACGGCCCACACCTCCGAGTGGACAGGCCATCCGTCTTCAGGGCCCTGTCCTTCCCTGAATGAGCAGCTCGGACAGCACTGCATCTCTGGGCACTGTCACCACTCAGTCCTCCCCAACCCCACGCCTGCGGATGCCACGATCCAGGCACCACACACGGGACGTGGCCCGACACCTTCATCTAGGGCCACCATTACTCCAATCGTGAGGCACAGCCTGGATTCTGGCTGTTTCTACGTCTACTTGCTTACCTGTGTGGCTGTGGACCCGTGGTGCAAACTCTGAGCTTTAGAATTTGGGGAGAACATTGGTGCCTACGTGGGCTTGTGAAAGCATCGTGAGACCAAGGATGGGAAAGGACCCCATAAGGTGCCTCGTCCGTGACATCAACTATGAGCTACATGAATAAGGAGCTACGCCGGGTTCTTCATGTCCTCAGCCTGCAACGGGATGGGGTGGGATGTAAGAAATCCCCCATGAATAAGGAGCTACGCCGGGTTCTTCGTGTCCTCAGCCTGCAGTGGGATGGGGTGGGATGTAAGAAATCCCCACCTGCCTTCATTCATGGAGTGACAACATTGAACACTGCACATTGTTTGGAGAAGGGGGAAGAAAGTGGACGGGGCACATATAAGTGAAAAGGGCAAGTTTTCACTCATGCTCAGCATCTTTCTACACAGGGAGAGCCTCTCATAAGGACATGAACTTATAAATTATAGGCTGACTATTGCACTGATGGGAGAAGTTACTAAACAGAGAGGTAAAACAAAGAGCCATCCAGCATGGGATTTGTGGACGACTTCTGTTCCATAAGTCTTTGACCGTCACCCTGAATCTAGCTGTATCTGGATCCAAGCAATATGACAGCAAAGTGAAGGATTCACAGCTCCGAAAACCTGAGTGACCCCAACCAACCTGTTCCTTTACCAACAATGGGCCTGCCGGGACTAAAATGAGCTGGGAAGCCTCTTCCCTGCCTTTGGGGATCTAGGGCAAGATCTGCAGCCCAGACACCGAACTCAAAACCTGTAGGGAAAGAGTTTTTTGTTTTGTTTTGTTTTGTTTTTTGCGGTACGCGGGCCTCTCACCGTTGCAGCCTCTCCCATTGCGGAGCACAGGCTCCGGACGCGCAGGCTCAGCGGCCACGGCTCACGGGCCCAGCCGCTCCACAGCACATGGGATCCTCCCAGACCGGGGCACGAACCCACGTCCCCTGCATCGGCAGGCGGACTCTCAACCACTGCACCACCAGGGAAGCCCAGGAAAGAGTTTTGAAAAAAAGCCTGTTGCCTGTTGGTTGCCCAACAGAATCTCCTACCGTGGACAGTTCCTCCACCCCCCAACCACGAAGACTTAAGAACAGGGTAGAAACCACAGTATTGACAGACAGCTATAGTAAATTTGTTCTTTAAATCTTCTAGCTCCTTGTGAGAAAGACAAATATCATATAATATTGCTTATATTTGGAATAAAAAAATGGTACAAATGAACTCATTTACAAAACAGAAATAGAGTTACAGATGTAGAAAACAATCTTATGGTTACCAGGGGGCAATGGGGAAGAAGGATAAATTGGGAGATTGGGATTGACATATACTCACTACTATGTATGAAATAGATAACTAATAAGGACCTACTGTATAGCACAGGGAACTCGACTCAATACCCTGTAATGACCTATATGGGAAAAGAACCTAAAAAAGAGTGGATGTATGAATATGCATAACTGATTCACTTCGCTGTACACCTGAAACTAACACAACGTTGTAAATCAACTACACCCCAATAAAATTTTTTTTAAATAGCTATAGTATAGCTATAGTGTTGGCAAAACTAAGTTACAGTGACCTGCCTGATATGGAACTCTACCCCAAATAGAACTACATTAGAATTCGTCACGTCCAACGTTTTTTCCATTTAGTCAAGGTTTTAAGAAACTCTCTGATACTGCTCTGTCCAATACAGTGGTTACTGGCCAGAAGTGGCTATTTAAATTGAAGTATAAATTTATTAAAATTATCTAGCCAGGTTGTCCTGGTGTGGGTACCCATGAGCTATGAATCACCAAGTTATCTATTTGCACGTGCTGTTTTGCACGGGGAAGGGAATGTGTGTTGAATAAGGGACCTGGCCTCATGAGAGGATGACAGTGGGCTCACATGGGAACAGGGGACCCCTATTTCCCGGGGCCCTGCGAGAGGGATTTCAGGATCTTAGGAACTTGGGCACTCGGTTCTCGGCTTCGGTCACCTCCCTTTCCCAGCCACCACACCCCAGCCTCAAGTCACTTCTCTGATCACAGGGATTCTCCGCTTATCCATCTGTTAAGTCTCCTCCTGTAAGAGATGCTCGGCCCTGTCAGATCAGATCTTGTTTCTCTTTAGTCTGCACCGTGCTTGTAAGCGGATCTAAGGAGCTGCTGCTAATGCCTCCTGGGTCTCAGCACTCAGTAAACTTCAGAAAAACTACCGCCGAGAAAGTGAAAATCCAGCACGGGAAGAAAAGGACCGCAACTCTCTCTGTTATCAGCAGTTTAACCCTGCTAAACCCGCACTCCGGTCTTGGGGTGCAGAAGTGGCCAGTCTTTGGGCAAAGGGGGCGGGGTCTGCGTGGGAAGGCTGGCCCTCCCTTAACTGTGGGTTCTTCTTCTCCTGTGGACCTGCCACAGGAATCTGCCCAAGACCAGCTACAAATGCAGTAACAATCCAGTCAGAGTCACTTTTATGCATCAGATTTTAAGTCATTTCCCTCAAACCAGAGGAAGGGGGTCTTTTACTTCTCGGCAGCTGGCGTGCCCGCTAATAAGCCCATTTCTATGGAAATGGGATAAGCCTTTCCACTTAGAAAGTGTTCCATAATTCTCTCGATTTAACAATTACCAGCTGCCTTTGGGGAACCAGGGTCAGTCATGAGATAATCATCAGGTATTTTTCTTTTCCCTGGGGTGCAGAAGTGTGTGTGTGTGTGTGTGTGTGTGTGTGTGTTGGAAGGGGTCAAGCAGGAACACTGCTTGGCTGTTTCTACCCTCAAGCTAGAACACACAGCCTCCTCCCAAAAGGACTTGCTTCCCAGAGACCCTGTTTCCCATGGAAAGCTGTCCTGTAATAAAAGCTAAGCCCCCTCCATGTGACCGTGGGACAGCTTTCGAGTGCACAGTATGGCTGCAGCTCGGACACGCCAGCAAGAGGGAGGCGGAGAAATGGGAGCAGGGGAGATGGATGGGCCCCAATCCAGCAGCTGGTCCCCAGGAAGCGCACCCTGCCATTTCTCAGCAGATCCCTCATGATGACAGGGATGATTGTTTTGCGGAGGGAGGGTGGTGGCGAGGGAAGGCAATAGGGGGGGAGAGAGCAGTAAAGAACGAGGGAGAGTTCAAAAGCGTGAACTGCTCTGTAGCAGGTTGTACCATTTACCTAAACTATTTTTTCTCCCCACAGACTTCTAGATAATTCTGAGCTACCAGGTGGAGATGCTTCCCCCATATGAGTTTTTTTTCTAGAAATGGAGCAAGAGAGGCTGTCTATGGTCTCAGGGATTCTGCTTTTTTCTTATGAGCCTTTTTCTGGGCATTATTTTAAAAGATGACCAAAAAGCCAGGTAAATACTGAACGATGATTATACACTGAACAAACGCCCCAGAGTAAGCCTGCTGGCTACTGGCGGTAAATACAATGAGACTGAACTCCAACTTCCTCTCTTGACCGTTGATGCCACCAGGACAACAGTGTACCTGTACAGTTGCTGCTCTGACTGTGGCAGCTGGAACGGTGCCTGGAAAAGTGTAGGAGTTCCATACGTATTTGTTTAAGTCTCTGAACACACTCAACAGACCAAGTAGGACACCCTGTCAATTTGTGTGCAGGGGGGTGTCATATGCATTCTGGGAGACGAGAAGCTGCCAGTCAGCTGGGTTTTTTTTTTGTTTTTGGTAATTTATGTATTTATTTTTGGCTGTGTTGGGTCTTCGTTGCTGCACACAGGCTTCCTCTAGTTGCACCGAGCAGGGGCTACTCTTCATTGTGGTGCGCGGGCTTCTCATTGTGGTGGCTTCTCTTGTCGCGGAGCACGGGCTCTAGGTGCGTGGGCTTCAGTAACTGTGGCACGTGGGCTCAGTAGTTGTGGCTCGCAGACTCTAGGGCACAGGCTCAGTAGCTGTGGCGCACGGGCTTAGTTGCTCCGCGGCATGTGGGATCTTCCCGGCCCAGGGCTCGAACCTGTGTCCCCTGCATTGGCAGGAGGATTCCTAACCACTGCGCCACCAGGGAAGCCCCAGTCAGCTGGGTTTTGAGCCCTATTCTCCTGCCTGCCTGGTACGTATATTGATATTCTCTGCTTTGATAAGATGGGTCTGTCTCTACTACTAGAATGTAATTTTGTTTTAAAGACTTTATTTTTTTAGAGCAGTTTTAGGTTCACAGCAAAATTGCGGAGAAGGTACAAAGGTTTCCCACATACCCCTTTCCCCCCATACACACAGAGCCTCCCCCATTATCAGCATCCCCCAACAGATGGTACATTTGTTACAATCAGTGAATCTACATGGACACATCATTATCACCCAAAGTGCACAGTTTACATTCCAGTTCACTCTTGGTTTTGTATATTGTACAGGTTTGAACAAATGTACAGTGACACGTCTCCACCATTGTGGTCTCCTACCGGGTATTTCCACTGCCCGAAACATCCTCTGTGCTCTACCTGTTCATCACTCCGCCCCTCAGCCCCTGGCCGGCCACCACTGATCTTTTCATTGTCTCCAGAGTTTTGCCCTTTCCAGAATGTCACAGAGTTGGAATCGTATAGTATGTAGCCTCTTCAGGTTGGCTTCTTTCACTGA